TCTCTCTCTCTCTCTCTCTCTCTCTCTCTCTCTCTCTCTCTCTCTCTCTCTCTCTCTCTCTCTCTCTCTCTCTCTCTCTCTCTCTCTCATCGCGACAGCACACAATCGCATGAAATAAATAAAGACTCCAACTGTTTGCCGAACGCTACACTACCGGTCATCGCCGCTTTCAGGATCAGTAGACGGACTACGTGTCGGTGGACGCAAGCTGCGAATGGCATCCGCAAGAACGTAATAGCTGTTCTCTACCTTGTCCCCCATGATGGTAGCAATCCTCTCGCGTGAAGCTATGTCCTGGTTTAGTAGCTCGCGATTAGCGTCAGCTTGCTGCTTAGCGATGTCATGAGTTGCTTGACAGCGCATCTTCGCGCACTCCATGTCCGATCGAGTCAGCGCAGTCGTGTGAGCACGCATAGCAGCTGTCACAGCCTGCACACTGGATTTGCGTGCATTGGCGGCCCCTCTTTTTCGTTTGCCGAGCGTCGGCTAGAAACCTGTCGACTGTGAGCCTCCGGGCGAACCGCCATACCCGGATCCGTTGTCTTCGCTCCCACCTTCCATGGCCCCGTCCCTATTGCTGACCCCCTCTCCGTTTTCAACACGCTCGTCGTCCGCCCCGGAATCCATCAGATTCGTCAGGTTAATAGAGTCCTTGTCCTTCTTCCGGCAGACCGGACCAGCCCTCGTGCGCCCTCAACCTCCTGTAGTAGTCGAGGATCTGGTTGAACTTGTTCTTGCACTGCTCGTGGTCACGGTTGTAACCCTTCGTACGCATGCGCTCTTCCACTATCTTCCAAAAACCAGCTTTTAGCCTCGCACGCCCGTACGCCTCATTCTCTTGGCCCATCAACTCCGTCACTTTGTTACGGAACCGGCACAACCACTGAGTTTCGGTCTCCCCCCACCGGTCCGTGCTCTTCTCCCCCGAAGACGGCCTTCGTTGCGGGTTCCGGGACGGCCCGCCCGCACGTGTCCCTGACGGGACTGATACGGAAGGCGGTGTGTGAGATGACACATTGCCGTTGATCGGGGACGGGATGGCTGCAGGTGGGCTTGGAGAAGATCGAGACCTTGGTGCTGTGTCATGCGTTCCGGACTCCCTGACGACTGGGGACGGAGTGGCCGCGGGTACACCACCGGGAGTGTGCAATGGGGAAGGTGTGTGCGAGGGGCTTGTGTGCAATGAAACAGCCTCATCTCCGACATTCACATAATCGGACTCCGGTGTACGCACACCAGCCTCAATGTCCCAGATGATTCGGTTCAGGACGTACTCAGATGACGCGGCAGGCGGACACTGCTGCTGCATGACAGCACCATCACACGACGACTCTGGTGACACGCGGTGAGTCGTTTGGGTAATGGGCGAGATCGTAGCTGCACTGCCTGACTCATGCTGTTGGGAAGGCATCGTGTCAGAGTTCATAGACGGTGTGAGCCCTTCGGCCGTAGCCATTGCACGCATTCTCAGACACTGACGGAGACTGTGCTCATCCTCTCCGCACAGACCGATTCTGAATTTCAGAACAGGCGTCACCGGTGACGACAAGATGGGAAAGTTGGTTACAACGTCGGAGTGCGGTGCATCGGTCACACAGTCGGTGACCATCGGCGACTGGGGGCCACAGACGGGGCCCGGGGTGCATGCTGGCCCGGACCCTGCATGTGGTGGGCCGTCGTCCTGGGACTCATACCACCCCCAGTTGCCGATACAAGACAGACCATCGTGCTGGGTGTGGCGGGCCATGGACAATGGACGTGTCCGAGGTGTCGTTTTCCCTGCGCAGTAATTGAACGGAGAACAGTGACGAAGTGCAAAGGCGTGCAACGGAGAGAAACGGAAAGGAGGCGACAACCATATCCCGGCACGGTACGGAGAAGCATTTCCCGCCCCGATCTGAATGTCTTGCGGATTCGGGCGGATTTGCGTGAATGCGTGTAATTGCCACGCGACCCCGACATGTGCAACGCCATGGATTTGGCTCGCACCCGTGTCCGTGTACGCAGCCGGACGCAAGCACGGGTACCCGACCGTTTCCACATGACGACTTTCCCTTTTCGGAAAGCCTAGATGCTGGTCGTCATATGACGCCTCACGACCGGGTCGGGGGGAGGGGGGTGCATGTGTCCCAGAAAGACGACCAGGGACGGATGGCACCCACGTATTTGGACGCAATACCACACATCATCAACTATACTTGGACACGCCCAACCTCACACCAAACACGCCTTTCCCCACGGGCCTCTGAACTGTCAGTGTTCGGAGCAATTATATTTTGTCCACCTTAAGACTCACGATTCTCAATTTCGGAACGCCGAAATGAGTTGGCGCAAAGCTTCAAAAACACCCCATACAAAAAAAAAACCATAGAATTGAAGCTTCGCGCCAACGCAAAGTGGACAATTAAATGGCCAACAAACGATTTATAAAAAATCCTATTGGCTGCTCTTCAACTACCTTGCCGAAAACACACACAATCGCCGTGGACAGTCGATACGAACCGCAATCAACGGCCCCGATTTGTCACGGACGGCCGCACGTAATCGAAAAAGCCAGACCCGAAGCGTAAAACGGTGCATGTCGGTCCAGGCCCCAGGTTTGGTGTTTGTTGGGGTCTTGAAGTTGACTGTTTTTGCTAGCCCTGAAAAATCCTGAAAATCCTAAGAACTGAAATGAGTGATTTTGCATGAAAACACACTTTTGCCTTGCTGTTTTATAAGTTTTTAAATTTTATTTTCCCAATTTGTTTTTAATAAAGTAGTTAGTATGATCTCCACTCTATGAATTGGTGGCAAGCTTGGTTAAAGAGACCCTTCGGTTTGTTGTAAATGATATGACAAATGATCTAAAAATTGAGGCACTCGTTAACCATCTCTGAACGAGCCAATGTTGTGCAACTTGCCATTGTGGTCTTAAAAATAAAACGCATATTCGATATATTTTTCTTCTCCGACCATCCGGACTGCCTGTTCTCTCTGAGCCTGCTTATGTGAATCCATGTCTCGACATGTCATTCTTCTCATCCCTTCTTCTTATCTCTACGTGATCGGTATTTCATCACCAGGACCTCACAGAGAGAACCAGAGGGGGAGATTTAAAGAGCAAGAGAGAGTATGTTCATCTAAGGAGGGGGGGAGTGGGAACCAGAGTCTGCTGATTGGTTCACAAGTATATTCAAATACTTCGACTGTCGTTTAACTCGCTGGCCTGCCTAAAAATTGAGCCTGTTGACTGGCTCACGGTGTTGTTTAATTCGAGTCTCCACGTGACTTGTGTCCTCACTAAAAATCAGGTTCAATGATAATCTAATTGGGACAGTCGAGCCTGTTAATGGGCTCTCAGATACTCGGAACAGAAATCAGCCTGAGGCTTACTAATTGGTTGGCGGCTTAATCAAGGCTGACCTGCTCATGGACGTGCCTAAGACAAAACCTGTTGAATGGTTTGCAGTCATCTTTGAGCCTGGGCTATAGCTCGCTGACACATTACAAAACGGAACCTGCAGACTAGCTCTCTATACATTATCTAGAAGCGAGTCTGCAGATTCGCTTGATGGCTTGTGTGGCGTGCATGTGATGATTGTGATCAACTCCGCGGAAGGCGTGCATGTGATCAACACTGTGGATTAACGTGCTGGGGTCGCGGGAGATTGACGCTGTGTGTTGGCTCACTATCTCACTCAAAATCCAGTTACTAAAAATTGAGTTCGTGGACTGCCCCTGTGGCCTGGCCGAGAGTCAGTCCATTAAAGGGTTCGTTCTCTTTCCCTTCCCTGATTGGCCTGATGTAAGCAGAGAGAGAGAGGTGAGCATCCTAAAGAGAAATCTGCAGATTGGGCTGATTAACTTGGCAATACGGTGAAGAATTAAACTCATAGCTAGACACTTCCTCATTATTTTATTTGAATCAATATTATCACCATTTACCCTGTCTCTTATACACATCTAGATGTGTATAAGAGACAGGAGAGAGAGAGGTGAGCATCCTAAAGAGAAATCTGCAGATTGGGCTGATTAACTTGGCAATACGGTGAAGAATTAAACTCATAGCTAGACACTTCCTCATTATTTTATTTGAATCAATATTATCACCATTTACCTATCTATTTTGATTTCGACCTGGCACATGATTGGCTAGAAACTACCCTGAAACTTGAGGGTAAAACAAGGGGTATCAGACTGTAGAGAACAAGGGGATCAGAGAAGATAAGAACAGTAAATTTAAAGTGACCGAGGAGCCAATTGATCCTTCTTTTTATTTATTTGTATCTTCGCTCAGAATTGCGAAACGGTGCTTTGCATTGGTTCGTGATCACCCTCTCTGCTCTACGCGAGTCTGGGTTCGTTAAATCGCGCCCCCCCCTGGCTTATTATTATTGAGCCAGGTTGATCACGTGCTCCCGAACTTGAGGGGGCCATTCGCAACTTGGCTATTGGACTGACGTGCTGCCTCTTGCATTCGTGCTGTGTATTGGTTGGTGGTAAGGGAGTGAAAGAATCGTGGATGGCTCTATAGTCTGTCTGAGAAGAAGGAACATCTTGTAAAAAAAAAAAAAAAAAAAAAAAAGATTCATTATTTCCCCCGGTTCTGATAAGGGCAGGAAGTTCATTGTTCAGTACAGAGTGACAGGCTGTGCGAACAGGAATGCCCTGCTGGTCGCCGAGGACCTCAGAAGTGGGCGCGGTGAGTGACAGGCGCCGTTGCCATTGGCTTCAGCGAACAGTAGGCGACCCCTCCCCGGGTTTCCTCACACCGCAATCGGTCATGATCAACAGTGACAATAAAATCATAATCTTTAAACATCACCCGCACCCCCACCACCACCTCGATCTAAGCCCTTACCCCCACCCCCACCCCCACCCCCACCTCCACCCCCACCCCCAACTCCCGCCCGGTGCCGACGATCCTCGTGCACCCATGTAGCCACGTATGTCATCAGCGCATTTCTAAGACGTTTACTGGCCGCACGTGCCCCGCTCACTGTCTATGTCCCAGGTCAAGATGGAGGTGAAGGTTCGTTGTCGTCACATTCATCGTCCTCGTCACCATGTTGCAGCAATTGCAGGTCCATCTCCACGCCCAAGCGAATGAGCAAGTTGTGTATCACGCACACAATGCGAAACTGCAGTGACAAGAGTTTGATGTTGGGCTTGTGTGTTCGTAGGAACATGCGCCACTTCCCTTTCAGCCGACAGAAGGCGCGTTCCACGCATCCCCGACAGATCTTTTGCTGGGTGTTGAACAGATCGCAATCAGATCGGGAGTACTGTGGCCCTGTGTAGGGCACAACGATCCAGTTCAGACTAGGATAGCCGTTGCCCCCTCAAATGTACCCCCTCATCGATACACCCCTGAAAGCATGAACGGTTCGGATCGAAACAGTCTAAACTTTGCGTGACTGAAGAGGGAGGAGTGATGCAGGACACGTGACTCGTGCAAGCTCCCTGCCCAGCCGACGTTGACGTTGTATAACCGCAAATCGGCACTGACGACGACCTGCGCGATGACAGAGTACCTCTTGTGGCGATCACAGTAAGCTGCCGCCGTCTCACCCGCAGACTTGTCTATATAGATGTGTGTGCAGTCGATAGCTCCGTAGTAACGGGGGAACCCCTTCGACTCAAACCATTCGAGTGCCTCGATGAGACGCTGGCCGGTGGGGAAAGCCACCTCATCCAGGTAAGCTCTCAGAATGGCTCCGGCCACGTCCTGAATGGCCACACAGCCTGTCTCACGGCCCGTGTTAAAGGACGTTGCTGGGTGTTCGAACGACTCCCCCGTCGCCCATCGGTACAGCGCATACGCAACCAATTGCTCTGGTTGAGTAGGGGCACGGTACTTCGTACACATCCTCGTCAAGTGGGGTCGCACATTCACAATGATGCTTCTGAACACCTCCTCTCCCATGCAGATGTTGTCATGAAAGTAGTCTCCCCGAGCAGTATCCACTCGTGTCATATTCTTCCATGCCCCGCCTGCCCTTGGCTTAACCCTCCATTGAGGTGATGCTCGCGGGAGAACACCGGTTGCCATGATTACGGCCATAAGGAGTCCTACAAAATTTGGCATGCCTCCCACTACGAAGGCATCGCCCAAACGATGTGCTCCGTCTCTTCTTCGTTGTGCATGATGGCCACTGCAACTGCAGCCATAGACACAGCAACCCGCCGACGCCATGCTATGACCTCCTGTTGATGCGCACCGGGTCTCATACCGTCCCACCCTGCAATCACTTCCTGCTTGGATGGCCAACTGCCAAGACACCTCCTAAACCAAACTCGATGCCCCGCGCACAGAAGACCACGCAACACACACTCACAGGCAGACCACCAGGACGCTGGCCATCCACGGTTGCGTGAAGACAGAGCACTCCGCTTCTTCCATCAGCAACTGGACTTCGAAAAAAAGCTCCACCCCGATGAATGTTGGTCGGCAGGAGCCCGAGCCCGTTTACCAACAGCTTCTCGGTGGGGCGTTCCGCCCAAGAAACCTCACGGCACCCGATAAATCAAATCGGATGGTCGGCCTGATATCTAGTGGAAGACCGGCGCGCGGGGGAGGGGATTTGGTTTGTGCGGACCTTCCTCGGAGCTGCAAGGGCACCCGGTAAGCAGTCCGCGTGGGTCGGGAAAATCCTGGTACTATCCAGTCCCAGAACTGCCTAGAGTTCTGCCATCGCTGCACTGCACTCTAGGATAACTGTTGGTGTCTCAAGAGCGACTCTTGAGAAGGACGATCTAGAGTAAGTGCAGCCACGACCTAACTCTAGGCCATTTTGGGACTCTGACCACTCATGATGCACTCTTGATGTTTTTCACGAGTTACGAGTATTGCAGCGAGGCTCAAAGGAGGCCTGAGGGCCTAGCTCAGTTGGTAAGGCACAGAAGTTGCATTGGGTTCGATCCCCATTGGCATCACGTACGCTCCTGGGCAAGCCTGGTGTTAGGTAACCCGTTGGCCCCCCAAGCCAACGTTGGCAGGCCCTTGGCTGATGTTGTTGGTTGCTATGCAGCGACAATCTTGACCATTAGACACAGCCATGTGGAGTTGGTGGGGGGGGGTAGGGGGAGGTGCAGCGACTGGCCATGGCTCAGTAGCACCGCCGATTTCCCCCATCGGCAAGGCCTGCCCAACCGTTATCACCGTGATGAGGGACTGATACAGCCTTGCTCTCGCACCACTGCTGTTGTGCCAAGTTGCCAACCTACCCCGTGGGCTGGGGAGAGATCCGGGTTGCTTGGTGTTCCCCCGTATACATAGGGCCTCGCTGCATTACTCTCCACATGCGCAAAAGACAAAAAAGATGGCGATGCATCTTTCCATGTTCTAGCGGTGGATTCAGGGCATACTCACACTGGTAACAAAATTCACAAAAATCGCAGATTCTGTGATAGTACCGTGTCACACAGAGAGAGCAGGTACACAAATGATGCAAATGGGTACGCAAATCCTCCAGCCTGCCTGGCCGGGGGGGTACGCAATTTGCGTCCACCTCAAGAGGTGAGCACAAATGCATTTTTGCTCGCAAGCACAAATGCATTTTTGCTTTCCCAAGAGTTCACGGGAAAAAGAAGTCGGAAAAAAAAAAACAAAAGACAATCCCTCTTCGTGTGTGACTTGCACAATAACGCAAATTCTGACATACAGAAAGTTGCGGCGGTGTCCCATATGGCACGGGCGGTTAGGTGTGACCAGCAGCCAACACAATATCACAAAAGCCGTAGCAAATGTCACAATTTTTTGTGATATTTGCATCGTGTGAGTAGGCCCTCAGTCTCATTTTGCACGTGGAGAGTAATGCAGCGAGGCCCATAGACCAGCAACAGGATGAGATAGAGGCTCGCCACACAGGCGGTTGGAAACCAGGTTTTCGACAATTTTGCATCGCCACACAGACTTTGGAAGAATTGCGGCTTAAAAAGTTTCCACAGGTGTCAGAATGGTACTTTCGACAGCCGCCCTCCAGCAATCGTTTCCTCCCCCCTGCAGGTGACAGAAATTCGACAGTGGCCAGCCGAACTTTCGAGAATTGAGTTCGAATTTGCATTGTCAGGGACTGTTCCGTGACACGCATGCCCTGTCGAAAGGCGGAGTCCGTCTGGCCATGACCAAAAACCTTGCCCCTCGACAGCCTGAGTGGCGAAGGTGGGGTAAACTGTCGACCGCCGACTTTCAAATTTTTTCTGACAGCTGTTGAAACTCTCTGAGTTTCGACGACCTGTGTGGCGAGCCTCATAGATGAGTGCTAGCAAGAAGATGAGAGAATAAGCTTCTGATCCGACAGTGGGTAAACTGGAGAATTTTGTTGAGAAATGTGGATCCCACAACTTTCCGATGTCGGAGGGCGCGGCGCTTTGTTAGGGGTACGTTTTCCGTTTTTGTGCATGTGGTGCGAAGTCTGTGATGGACGGCCCAACGGTGCTACACAAAATGGAAAGCTCGAGGACCCCTACCCCTACCGAAAAAGCTGCCACGAAAATGAGTCGGCCTTTTCAATGTCCGCCCTTGGTGAAAATGGGTCAGGTTCCACTCTCTCCTGGCCGTTGGCAGATGCCGTGTCACCCCTTTGGGGAGGCCAGGCCATACGGTGGGACATTCCAGGCCATACGGTGGTCCACAGGAATGTCCGCCACTGTGGAAGGCCAAGAAATCCCGCCGCAGTCCTTGGGAAAGACCCACGGATAGCGTTCGTGTGGAGTCCGAGTTTGCTTTTCCGCCCCGTCCGACCCGTTGCCTTCTTTTTAGGGACTTTCGTGTTTTTTCTCTTTTTGTGTATTGTGGGATCAGCGCCTAATATAGCTTACTTGAGAAGAAGAAGAAGAAGAAGAAGAAGGTTAAACCAGAGGCCTGGTCCCATGACCGAAGAGGAATGGGTTTCTAAGTCCTGAATCTGGATGTGTTTTGCATCGTCCAGATTCAGGAATTAAATTTAATAGTCGTGCTTGTGGGACCAGGCCCCAGGGCTGTTTTACAGGCCTGCCCCACCTGCCATATAAAAAGGTGCAAAAAGGGCCTCGGTCGAAGTCGCTTCACCACTCACAAACTGTGCGAAATGAGATCGAAATGTACCGCCATAAGTTGTCTTTTGTGCACGAGGTGAGTTGTGGAGTGAGGTCCAGAAGGTGGCTTTCTAGACCTGGAGCGAGATTTCACTAGCCATGTATGTGGATTAGTGTGACGGGTGTGGAACGGGTGGGGGACAGGTGGGTGGCAGTGTGAAATAGGGAAAATAAACGCACAAAACCATTTCGTGACCAAACAAATGAAGAAAAAACTGCTAAAGAAGAAAAGAAAGTGCTCTTCTCACAGATGGTGTCTGCTCCAGGCGGGGTGTCCGATGTCAGGGTATGATTCACTGACCATGGCTGTGGCAGTGAAGACGACTGCATGTGAGTGGCCACACGGACCATATTCATTGACAATAGTCTGAGGCTTCCTTGAAATAGGCCGCAATGCACACTGTTTGGTTGCTCTGACAGAAATTCTCTTTGGCAAAGGAGGGGAAGGGTAACTCCATACACCATTTGCTGTGGGTGAGGGGATCGAACCCTCCCAAACCACAATCAATTTTCAGCGATGAAGCCATTGAATTTCGTCTTTGCCTTCGCCATGAATGGAACGTGCGTGATTTCATGAACCAAAAAAAATGGTTTCAATTTCACGCACATTTGGGACCGCCACAGGACCCCCACAGCAAAAACGAAAGAAAAACCTACCAATGGGAGAGCAAAAAAAAGCATCCTTTTCCCAGGCTTAATTCCCCCCCCCCCCCAAGGCTTAATTCACAAAAACAGGCTACCGCTGATTTCCTGCCAAATCCACAATGCCTGACAGTCACACACCATAAACACTAATCCACATACATCAGTAGTGGGATCTCGCTCCTGGAAGGAGTAAATTCAGGGCATAGGGCCTCGCTCCACTGATCTCGAAATGTGCAAAACATAGGAAATTCAGGGCATACTCACACTAGGACTTTTTCGACTGAGCTCTGCATCCAGTTCTGGTCGCAATTCCACTCAGGTACATTTAAGAGAGTGCTAGTGGGAGTCTGCCCTCAGAAGGAAAAAAAAAAAGTTAAAAAACGAAAACAAGAACGATAGGTATTAGCCGGATCTATGACCAACACGGGTGTGAGTGTGAGCGTGAGTGGGTTGTGTGTGGTGTGTGGCAGAGTGTTGGTCATAGCCTCTGCTGCTATTCGATGAGGGGTGGGGGACGATGAGAAAGGGAGGCGCAGCTACTGGCAGGTCTCGGTCTTTGTGTTAGCCAGACCCCCACTGGCGGCCCCAACCCTATACCCTAACCATTAGGGGCAAGGGGCAACATGAAATCTCCCCTTCACAGAGAGCGGAAAAACTACGCTTGCAGGGGTCCCCTCTAGATAGCCTTAGGAGTAGGTAGTGAAAGGCAATAAAAACAGAAGTTGAGAGAAGAATAAAGAAAGAAACAGACAAAAGATAGTTTCGACCAATTGATTAACAGCAAAAACAGGAAAAAACAAAGAAAAAGCAACGAGAGGTTCAAGAACAGAATCAACCACGCCTCGTCAGCGTTGGAGAGAATCTCCGTCGTCAGCAATGGAGAGAATCTCCGTCGTCGATGCACCTTTCGAGGTCCTCTTCCCTTGATCTGTGGTATTACGTGGACGTACTTGGAGCACTTTTATTTTTTCTTTTCTTTTCTTGTTTCTTTTCTTGTTTCTTTTCTTGTTTCTTTTCTTGTTTCTTTTAGGAGCGATTGTTGTACCACAGGGTTCAGAGGGCATTTCACATGATCTGTCGTATTACGTCAGTGGACACTCGCCGGACCACTCATCAAGTGTGAAAAAGACAAAAGCTATGACGGGTGCATCTTCCCACGTTCTACAGGAATATACATTCTCCCGGTGACGCCCCAAATGTCTGACCACAGTTGACTTCGTGGGTCAACCTGCTGGAATGTACCCTAGGGTGCGAGATTCCATTCGAAAAGTCCCCAAACCAGGGGCGAGGTCCCACTTACTAGGTTTCTTTATTTTTGACCGTCCGTTGTGAAAATCAACTACTGTTAGGGCGGTGGGCTAGGGATGCGTTAGCAACAAGGCGCTGCCCTGGGGGCTTGCAGACGGGCGAGGGGGGCTAGCGACATGGGTCCAGCGGCAAATAGGGTTTCTGACTGGATGCCTGTTACCACGGTAACTTCGAGGGTCAGAAATCGTCCCCATAGCTGAAGGAACAGGACAAAACCCTATGCT